GAACAGATTGCGTCATGCATTGGAAGCAAACTGTAGCTCTGTGTTTAAGAAAAAATAAACATGGTGAAAATCAGTGGGTATTAGTATTCAGTGTTGGTCAAATGCTTCTTTTTTACAGATTGTGCCAAAGGGTGTAAGTGGATGCCAAAACAAATGAACACATAATGATGATTATAAATATAGAAGTAAACATCTGAATAACAAATACATATGACATAACATATATGGGAAAGCATTCAGGTTGCCAAAATATCTTCAGAAATGTGCAGCATGTATCTGTACACATGTAGGTGATTTGTCCAGAGAATAATTACAGAAATTCAAATGTGCTAGTAAGTGATTTTCTTCATAGTCTTATCAGTGCTCTCTCTAGTCCCCTGTTCAACATGAACCAAATGTCCATATACATAATTCAGTAAAAATCTGAATCAATGTGAAGGACCCCAGAGTATATAATAAAGTATCTTTTCCCCTGTAAAAGATGTATTTAAAACTCCTAACTTAGTTCATAACTAACATGTTGATAGTATAGGGGGGTTATTATAACTAACAATAACAATAAATATATGCAATAAAGTAAATAATTAGTACTATCAACTTCATGAAATCAGCTCAGAAATGTACTTCTATTTCCAAATTAGGTATTGCAACACAGTAGATTTCATATTGCAATAAGCGTTCATACTAAGAAAGCAAAGCCAAATGAGAATGTATTTTTCTGACCTACCATTGAGCCTAGAGATACACTTGCAAAGGTCTACAAAATGTATTAACAGTATTCAAAAATATCAATTACTAGCAACAAAATGTAAGTTCTAACATACGATACTGCTGAATAAAGGTGGATTCAAACTGAATTGCTTTGGTTCAATACTGTAGACCAGAATCTCTTACAGGAGGTAGATAATAGGCTTTTAAACCACTCCTGGGAACAAGCAAGATCAGCCGTGTCACCAGCTCCTGCATGAGTGGGCAACTACATGAAAATAAGCACCAGGACTCCCACTACAGGCTCTACTAGCAGTCTAGCAATCAAAAATTGAATCCCATGGTTCACAAGCCAACATTTGGCACTGCACAGTGCTGAAATGGTAATAACAGCACTCTTTCTTGCCAAATGGCAGAACTTCCAGTTGTGGTTTTGTGAGAGATTCTTTTTTTAGTGTATGACATTGCTACATTAGTTAAGTGTTGTGAGCATTGGATAAGCCTCATGTGTTTACAGTGGTGATCCAAGACAAACAGGTTTTCCTGAGAGGCTCAGGAGGAAGGTATCAATGCTGTTCCTTTATGCCAATTTCAGCAAAGAACTTGAATTTTACTTAAATTCAAGCATGAATTTAACCTATGGGGACTGCATTAAACATTTGCAGAATAGAAGAGGAAAGTGAAATCTCCATTATTTTCTTGATATTTTGGCAGCACATGAATGATAAAAGACAATTAAATATAAAACGTGAATTAAAACCTTCAAAACTACTACTATAACTATGTGATCATGCCTCTAAGTCATCAAGTTCTGGTCATCCAAATGGTTTCTAAGCTGACAAAGAAGATAATTTCTATACAGCCAGGTCAGACTGAAACCCGTCATTTCCATTTAAGAACTCACACGGTCAGAATCTATTTACCTCTCTTTTTCTCAAGTTATATATGTCCATCTCCCAGAATGGACTGACCACATCTTGTGTCTCACAATCACTGCTCTGCATTTTTAATTGAAAAGGAACCATTTTTATGACCAAACAAGATCTTGTGTGCCATGTGAAGCTTTTTGAAAACAAAAGGTCACAAAACCAAAAAGTAATTATATGGGTTTTAGTAGTGCTTTTAATTTTTTTATTGCTATACCATATATATATTTACTTATACATACTTGCCTCTAAAAATTTCTAAAAATAAAATGAACATGAAAACCAATTAGGTTCATAAAAGAATAATGGTTAAAAAAAGGGATATTAAATGAAAGGGTAAATAAAAAAAGCATCATAGAAAATATATATTGCCAAAATATATGTTGCTCTGAGGTGATTAACTTTTGGAGTTGGTCACTGATCCAGCCCTTGAGGCTGCTGAGCAGTCCTGTAAATCACTGAATATATTAAACACTGATGGCCACAGGCACCAAAAATAGTAAAACCACAGAATTTCCTGGCTTATATGTGAATGGGAGGTTGCTGGATCAGAAGAATCAGCCTCAGGGCACCATATACATTATTATAAAATGCTAATAAATAATAAAAGGAACAATCAAATAGTGAGATGGCATATAATTTCCATAATGTAGTATTGAAATTAAGGTGATGTGTAACTAGAAAGTCCAACCCACTCTCTTGACAAAAATGGGTAAGACATAAACATGCTGCATACTAGAAGAAATTGCTGGCCTTTGGAATTAGCCTAAATGCACACAGTTAGGTTATCAAAATGATGTTGAGTTGTTTCCACAGCATGAGGCAATTGTATATGCAAACCCTTAAGAATGTTTAGTTCATCTTGAGTACATTATTTTATGTTTTCACATTCTTTCAAGTGTTTTACACTGATCAATTAAGGTTGCAGTTACAACTGCAACAAGACCTGATGTCACATTAGTGCTATCAATTCACAGTGTTTCAGATCACCCCTCAAGCAAGGCTGAGCTTCCTCAGTTTAAGAAGTTTCCACAGTGGGAATTTTCATAGGTGCCATTTCAATCATGCTTGAAATCCTACTGCAAACGAAGTCTTTCTAGTATCTTAGCAGAGCTGTAGATTTCCCAGGATCACTGTCAGTGTTAGGTAAAAGGTACAGATGGAATGGCACAATTCAGAATGCCACAAAATATTAAGAAAAAGATTCTAAAATCCTGCATTTCTATTAGAGAAATTTACACAAATTAATGAAGTAGGAATAATTCAGTTCAAGCAAAACAGTAAAAGTAAGAAAAATCTAAGAAATTTCCCTGGACACTGAAGTATTCACTGCTTCACGTTGAAAATGGGAAATCAAGCCCAGAAATACACTGAAACTAATACATTATTGACTTGCACAAACAAAGCACAGAAAAAGTGGAAGAGACCAGAAACAGACAGTACTTAGTACACAAACAGTCTGCTGTGCAGTACGAGAAGACAAAGATGAGCCTTTCTTCTCCAGTGAGTACAGCATGAAAAACTAGGAAATGACAGTGCCAGTTTTTGACTGAGGTGTCTACTTTTCCTGAAGATCACTATTTGATCTCCAGAATATTTTCAAAGCAACTGTGTGAATTACTGAAATGGCAGTGTTCTTAACAGCTGAAAGCTCAGCAGTGAACAGTTACAAGTAATAGTGTCAAATCAACACTGTCCATACAGTGTTAAATACAGGGGCATCTTCTATGCTCACAGAAGTACACTTGAGATATTTTTCAATCTTTGCACAACCAAGAACATTTTGCAATTATTGGGGAAAGTCATTCCAAATGATTAGCCTTTTCACTCTCCTCAAACACTATGTTCCTTTATACATTTCAGTCTGTGAATGGACAGAGCGGGTAAATTGTAAATACTTGAGCTGAAAGTCTAAATCCAAACTCTTCTGGGGCGGGGGGGGGGGGAATCAAACAAAACACCCAAACAAAACCAAACACACAACCCCCATCCAACAAATTAGAAGCAGCTTTTAAAAATCTGCCCCATGAACTGTAGTTATACTTTATCTCGATGGGACAATGCAGTTCTGTGGTCACTGACGTTCCCCATCAGCTCATGTTCCCCCAGTTTACAGCTAGAAAAAAAACACCACCTGCTGAGAACTGAGCAAAATCAGTCTGAAATCTAACGAATGGGGTAAAGTCCTTCTGCTCCCAATTTATAACATCACTCCATTGTTCTTTACAGCAATGCAGTCAGTTTGAGATTCTCTCAGTTCAACATAAAATCAGAAAGGAACTTCAGGGTGAATAAGCCTTAGAATTATTTTGATTGTGTTTACTTTTTAATATGGCAGTCCAGAATTTGCGCTTCTATAAAGGAATTTGAAGTCTTTAACTAGGGCTAACAGACCGTGTGTATGCTTCACGATCTTCTGCCATCTTAGAAAAAAAAGATAAAAGAATGCATTTGTTTTCTGTATTTGGTTGAAATGCATTTATAATAGGTATTACTATGCTTACCAAATATACTAGAGCCCAAGAAGATTAAAAACTATGTACCTCACTGTTTCTCAACAACAGCTACTGCCAGCATTTGATGTCTGTGCCAATTCTAATATGCTCTGGAGACCTGTATAGGTACAGTATACAAAGTATTTCTTTTGGCAGTAGCCTTATCTGCCCATTTCTGTCCTACCATGGACCATGCTTTTGCCATTACTTTGTGCTCAGTACCTCATCCAATCAACTGTGAATCCCTCAAACTCTTGAGAATTGTGCATTTGTGGGTTTTTTATCCCTCATCCTGGAATGTCAGGAAAGGTTCACAGTTTTTTTCAAATACTATTTCTATTCCATGTTCCTGGGCAACTTTATCATCATGGTATTCGCAGTTCCAAAATCAAGGTACTGTCTAAATGGAGTAAGAGGTATCATTCCTGCTATCCTGGCTGCGGGAATGTGATCCTAAGAATTGCGTTCTGAACATATTTTGGAAAATAAATGTAGAATGTGTTTTCTCTGAAAAACTGTTTCCATTAAATGGTAATGACAAACAGGATGGATTTGCTTTCCCAAGATATGACAGAGATATTGCAACTTAAATATGCACCACTGAAGAGTATTTATTCAAATTCAGAGTTATTTTTAAATACTTAAAATTAATTAAAGTATATTAAATATCCCACTGAAAAGAAACGATTTGGGCTAAAAAAACACAACCCATATGTCTAGCTTACTAAAACAAATTTAAGAGTAAAGTGATGCTATTCTCAAGATCATAAACTGTGATGGCTATAGAACATACAAGCTAAGTATCTTCAAAGAGCACTGAGCAACTATTTATATCTCCAGCTTTCTCCGATTAATCTGTTCTTTGATACAGGGAAAAGATGTGAATGTTTGTGATCTCCTGCACCATGGGTATTTCTGCATAACTTAGTTCTCAGAATGATAAACAGGTAAGATCTTCAGCTGGTGGAATACTCTGACCTCACCTACAGATTTCTATGTGCTCCCCGAGCTGGGACGGATTCAAGTCTCACCTCCTTCAGTCTCCCTTTTTGAGGTCTCAAGAAGCATTAGAGGGAAGAGGCACATTCCTCTGAAATTCTATTTTGACTAGCTAGTCAAAGAAACATGCAAATATGGGAATCACTGGCACATCTACTACATAACTGACACTTCGTTATCTTTCATTTATCATTTTTGTTATACAGCTTTCCTTGTTAAAACCAGCAAGTCAGACAGAAAACAGGCAAAAACCACTATTTCATTTCTTGGAAAGGGATCTTTGTGTTGTCCAAACACCTACACTGTAATAGACATTGGGCAAAATTTTGGTTTAATGGTGGAGTTTTCCAAGTACTGTCACAAGCTACTGCCCAAGTACTGTCCAAGTTACTTTCCAAGTATTGTCACTGCCTTCTGCTACCTCATTAGATATGAATGCTAGCATTGCTCTAAAAACCAAACCTCCCACAGAAAAAAAAAATCCTTACTTGTTAAACTGAGCCACTGAAACACCTTACAGAAACTTGAATTATCTTGGTCAAGCTACCTACAAAAATCACTGGGTAAAACAGTAATAGAAGCTTAATTCCTTTTTTATACATAGAATGTTTTAAATACTTTCTGTATGTATATAGAAGAACAATTCTCATTGTCTCACTATGCTGTGTGCATGTGCAAATATAAGGGTATATAGATTTACAATGACAGTTTGCATGAACATCTACATTTATGTTTTGGTCCTTGATTCCAGGATAAACATACTTTCTTAAAACAGGATTTGGGGGGACAAAGTTTACATTTTCTGTATTTCTTGATGACAGCAATTACTTTTTAGTGCATGAACAATTGCTACTTACATTAACTTCTGTTATAGCAATATCAACGACGCTACCAACAACAATTAAGGCATCAAAAGTGTTCCATGCATCAGTGAAATAGTGCTGTTAGGACAAGCATTCAGCAGAAAGACCAAGAGAAAAACACAAACAGAAAAAAAAAGAGAAGAAAAGGACAGCGTTATAACACAGAAACACTCTAGGCTTCTCTGATGTACCACTATACAATCTAATCTTTCCCTTTCATTGCTAAAAAAAAAGAATGGCAGAAAAAAAAGGCTATTTATTTCCCATATCAACATAATTGACCTGTGACTGGTCTGTACTCAAACTTTAGAAACATCAGATCAAAATCTGTGACTTGTCCAGATGATGAAAATAGTGGGGAGACAGAGAAAGAGTAGGGACTAAGGAAAGTAAGCTGGGGTATACTCACATCAGCTTCACTGAGAACGACGTCTACTATGCTGCCAATAACGATGAGGGAGTCAAACGTATTCCAGGCATCACTAAAATAGCCCTGAACAGAGCAGGCAGGGTGCAAACGTTTGTGATTACACATGAAATGTCAAATATTTGCATACTTCTGTTTAGTTTTGCATAAACAGAAATTAGTTAAACAAAACCCGGTGTCTAATGAGAAAACAAAACAAAACAAACAATATTGCCTACTGAAGGAAAAGCAACATATATGTGCATGTGTGTGTATATATATACTTCATATATATACATGTACAGACACACACACAGACACACACGCACACACACACACGCAGTACACATGCATAATACACCATCATATGAGCACAATGTTGGCAAGCAAGCCACCATCCAAAATTGATTTTGGACTTCTAGCATGGCTGAAAAATTCTAACCTTATTAACCTAAGCAGCATAACAAAATCCCTTTAATAATATTTCCACAAGACCAAGCCAATTGAAACCTCCTTAACATTAATGACAGTATGATAGTCCTATCTAAGGGACTGGTAAAAATATTCACTGGGTCAGAGATCATCACTGGTTAATAATGCACAATTAATGTTGAACTGTGCATAAATATTACAGAACTTATTTCATCTTCTAGCCATAAAATAGGTTTCATATAGGAACTCACACTACATTTGCAGGCAGGCCTGATTCCGTAACCAGTGAAGGCAGTGCTCGGAACCATCACAACTTGGAACAGTTTCTTAATGCTTCTAACGCAGCCAATCCAATGTCTGAGAATTCCTTTTCATAGTCTCCCTTCTGACATTTTATGATTTTAAATATATTCCCTACATGTATGTTACTGGTACATTGGGCTGCAAATTATTATAAAGTGCTATCGTGCAATTAGCTGTCTATTGGCATCAAAACTGCATGTTTGAGCAAAAAAGATACATCAGAAGAAACCTTGAGGTAGGTTTCAGAATCAATCTGTCACTGGGAACAAATCAAGATGTATTACTCTGTTTAAGGGAACTCTGCAGAGCCAAGACACGTAGATTTTCTGCCATATGTGGATTTTGCCTATTACTAAATTCAGCACTGCAAAAATTTCTGATCTTCTCCTTTTTCACATTCAGACACATTAATTTATCAGCTAGCCATGACTAAGGAATGTGCATTATGTGACAATGGCTGATATGTACCTTTGGTACACATACATTCTCCTTTCTTGCTAAACAATTTAAAATTACTAACTTGTCAGCCACTATTGAAAATAAGTTTAGAAAAATGTTTAAAATTACAAGTGTGCTAATCTAACCTTATGCCTCGTTACATTCATTATTACAGCTTCTTATAAGATATTTCTAGCTGAGTAGTTTAAGTTGTTACATGTGGGGTTAGCACAGAAATGCGAAATCAGCTACAATAGTTTCTAGATTTGGGTAATATTTTTCTCAAGATTTTAAACTGTTAGAATGTCTGGTAACTTCACAGATTAAAGGTTACACTTGAGTGCATTGCTATTTGAAAAAAGAAAAAGCTAATTTCATGTGGAAATTTGCTCTTGGAGACAACGAGAGAGCTGCCATAGAAAACAACAGCTCTACAGTGTGTATTCTAGGAGATTAAGCATTGAGCAGAGTCAGGAAAGCCACATTATGTTTCGCATGCTACTTTCTCAGCTCTTCTAAAGCATAAATTGCTATAATCATTCCCTTATTTAAGGAATGGATTTAAGAGGAAAACAGATCAGAATATGATGATTACCACAGCCCTTTGTGCCACATGCTTTGGTTCTTTTAGATTAACCAACAATTCCAATCTTGTGGCAAAGCCGGTGTTCATGGATTTGGCCTCCTGAATGAAAACATCCATTTCTGAGCTTCTGCACAATTCCCTATTCCTCCTTCCTTCCTCATCCTGCTTCACAAGAACAAGCCATTCTCAAAGTTTCTACTAAACATCATGCTGAACAATACTCAAATTTATAATCCTAAAGAAATTAGCAGCTGCCAACTAAAGAAGGGGAGCTACTCTCATAACAATATTCTTCCTGAACATTCATATTCCTTATTTCTCTTCTTAAAAGAAGTTTCCTTATGGATTTTAAAGTAGCGGTATTTATACACATACATAGAATAAGAGACTATTGGCAAACAGCAAACTGATAATCAGCACAAGCTGCAGCTGTGCCATCCATCTTCCTCTACAACGACCAGGAAAGGTCCTTCAAATAAAGGGTAATTTCAGCTATAGAAAAAGCTACTGTACTAGACATGCTACAATATGAAGCACTGAAAAAATAAATTCATATTTTGATTTAATATAGCTAAAATACTTTACACATTTATTTTATGAAACCTTTTCCATCAGTATAGACAAATATTGTTCAAAGTAATACGTAAAGCAAAAGCATACAAATAAACAAAAAACTAAGAGAAAATAAAGATGGTTTTGGAAAAGGGAGGAATGGACAAGTCACAGCAAATAAACATCATGCAAAGAAGTTGTTTTCACCACTGCAATGACCAAGATCAATTCACTTACTAGCCATCTTTCCTTTTTTCTTACAAAAATCTGATGTAAAACGACATGGAAAATCATTAAAAGTTTAAGTAACAGCTAGCTACCACGAAGCTGTACATACGGTAGGTGTTGATGGATTATTTTAGATTTCACAGCTGTATTTTGTTTTGTATTGTACTAAACCATGCTAAGGAACAGATTTTAGCAAATGTGAAGACCAATGTGAAGAAAAAAATGCCTGCTCTTTTAACCTACATTATGAAAAATTTGTTAATTAAGAAATACTGAAGGATAAAATCACAGATCCTAGGCAGTATGTAGGCACAGAGAATTAACATCAAAATATGTCTCTACAGATCTACCACAGAAATATTTTAGTCCTTTTAGTACTCTGTTAATAAGTTTAGGATCTCATTCTGTAAAGTACTCTGTGTTCCAATCTCCCAGTCAAGAATTGTGCCAGACACTCAGCATCACTTTTGGTATCTATCACTTATCCAAGTTTTATACATTTCACAGCTGGAAGGCAGTCTGCAGTACCTTGGTTTTAAACAACACAATATCAGAGTAAGACTATCAATAATTTATAGAAGCCTTACGTTTGCATGACCAGTGAAACCAAAGATCACAGTTTTCACAGGATTTTTGTCAGCATATTAAGGGGACACTGTCAAGCAGATGAGATAAAACCTAACATGTTTTTCTCCTTAACTTTAAAAGAGTGACTAATGGAGCTTTTATGTGATGTTTAAGCACCTCTGAAATTACTTTTAAATGCACTCAATTAATAAACAAAACTGTCCATTTTGCCAGACTAGACTAAGAAACCCATCAGTGACACAAACAAGGAAGAAATTAATTAATTAGCCTTTCCTCATGGACCCTAAAGCAAAACATTAAGTTGGGTTTCAGACTGGTCTTTATTCAGATTGATCTTTATTCAGATTATTATTCAGATTGATCTATTATTAAATCTTAATATAAGTTAAAGCAATTTATTGTTTATGCATGTATCTAGTTTAAAATTTAGATTACTGAAAGACATTCAAGTTCTGATTAAGACTGATAGCTGATTTTCAGTGATTACTGAACTACGTAATGTACGTTGCAAAAACATGGGACTTTTTTAACTGTAGCTGGCTATTAAAAAAG